AATCTCCAAAATGTACAACTAGTGATTAACCCACATGTCTAGCTAAACATGTAAAAATAATAATAGGCATGGTTAAATCTTCGTGTGATTAAATGCTGTGGACTACAAAATCTCATCACGCTAAGGCAGCCAATCACTCCCTGCGCATGATGGGAGCAGTCATACACGGGAGAGGGTTACAAAGTTATCTGCCCTTTTTTGGGGGGGGGGTTGGGGAGGGAGGGGATATTGTCCAACACTGTTACTTCAAGTGTTTGGGATTACAAAACTCAATGCACTGGGAGTTATAATTCACTCAGAAGGAATTCCATACAATTATATAAAGATTCACTAGGTTGCACTTTTATATTTAAATGGAACATTCATATTACTCCTATATAAACAATAATAATAATAACAAAAAACAATAATTCGCAAATAATATTTTCACGGCTAATCTACCAAGTGCCTTAATGAGCTGACACTTAGCATCTAATAAGAATTAATATATGAAGTAGTTTGGTGTGTCCTTTATAATAGCTCAGCATGTATCTATGACAAATTACACCAGATGTGTCTGAAAAAAATATATATATATTATCTGGACATAAACAAATGATCACATGATCTGACACATTTACCCCAAATACTTGCTTCTCTTAAGATGCGTGTGTATATATATATTACAATACATCATATGATAAATGGCATACCTTCCTTAGCAGCCTAGAATGACTATCAGCACTGATGTGAATATTACAGAAATTGTATCGACTATTTGTTTGTGATATACACGTTTTACTTTGTTTAATATATTTTAGAATTTGATTTTTTTTTCTCTTCTCCTTAAATCAAATATATTAACATATATAATAAAAATGTGTTAAACATATATATGTACATATGTATATATCTAAAATGAAATATACTACGCCCATAAATTATGCTCTGATTTGAATCCTCACTGACTGCACAGTTTAAAGTCACAAAGTAAATGTCTTTAGAATTTGGGGTAACAGGTGTATCCCGTTCCTAAGTCTAAGCCCATGAGGATATGTTTCTCTCTATCCCAAGCCTGGGTGTGTATAGGCAATAAATACTAATAAATTATTCTTTAAATACTAGCTGCCTCTTGCTGTCTGTATGCAACTGTTAAAAATCAATCAGCCCATTTTACAGTCACAATGATTCACTCATTCGGTGCCCGCAACAAAATATTGATCTGCTGTAATTTATTGGCAATAACCAAAAATATAAAACTGCATATAACTACTGTGATTTGCTAATAACATATTATTCACATTCCTGCTGGAAGAGATCACACAGATATATTTCTTCTCTCGATGAACAGTAAATATTATTTTACTGAAGTAGATATATTAAATAGCAAACGATGTGTAATATCTATAATAATATATTCAATATCTATCGAATATATAATATATATCGCCTCCAGTAATCTAACATACATATATACACACACACCTTAAATAAATCCAGTAATCTCCCATAATGGATTTTGTAGTCCACAGCATTTAATCACACAAGGATTTAAGTATAATATTAATTTATATACACACAATATTATTTTATTACATGTATAATTTATAACGTAATATATATCAATTCCTGTAATTTTCCATTAGTATTTATATATATATATATGTAAAATTACTGGAGGTGACATATATTGTATTATAAATATATAGAAACATTTAATAAATTAATATTGCAAATAACATTCTTAAAGTTTCTGTAAATAATATTTTCCAATTGGCAGTTTCACATTTAGCCATGTTTCTAGACAATTCCTTTGGAAAATCATCCAAGGTGAAACTCCTATCTCAGTCCATTAAGGCCTGATTGCAGGGTGAAATTATTGCCCCTAAGGTGAAAATGTGACCTCTGGGGGCAAAAATTGCCCTAATTCTCCCGGTTGAGCATTATGAGACATCACGAATACATTTTGCACTACAGAGAGAGTACATTAAAATTCTTCACAATCTCTCTTAGTATATTTCTATTGAAATATTGAAAGCAGTGCTTAGAAATACACATCCACATAGCACTCATATGCTGCTTTCCAAGTACATTGTGGTTATATAATGAAATTAGCAATATTTTGAAATGTAAAATATAAATATTATGTAGGTAGAAAAAAACATAAGTAAACAAACACACCATTTACAAATGTACAAAATTACGTGTTTTTTTAAAAAAAAAATTACCACATTTATAATATGTTATATATCATATATATTATTACAATTATATATATTATTACAATTATATATATGTAATAATTGTATTTCTTTGTGGTGTTTTTTTTGTAATGTTAAGATTTTGCAACATGGTGTATAAAAATATATATTTTGTTACATTGTGGAATATATAAAAATATATGTCATAATAAGTTTTCTAATGACTGACGATCATAATGTTACAAAATGATAGAATTTATCAAATAATTATCTAGTCAAATAAGGACAGAAAAAGAGACTTAACTGTTTGTCTTCACCATAGCAAACATAATAAATGAACCGGTTTCCTTCAAAACACAAATCAGGACACTATGTATATGTATAGTATTTCAATTTCAATATTCGGTTGGATATTTATTTTATTTCATGAATAAAATATATTGTGGCACAGGACTTTCAGGGATATTTATGTATATAAAAACCCAGCAAGAACACTTGATAAACTTATTATTCATATGCAATTTTCTTCCACAAGTATATTTTTAACCCACAATACTGATTTAACCCTACAACCACTAACCCCTGTCAATAATGTGCAAATTAAATTTCACATTTGTTCTAAGTCAGCTATAAAAGTGCATTTGAATCTCTAACTGTTTTACCCATTGTTTTTTTTAGAAATTAATATATGGAGCATATAAAATTAAATATTGACCTCACAAACGTCCAGTGTTTTAATCCCTCACACACTCGCTCCAAACTCTATTATTGCCACGGCATTACAATTACAATATTTAAAAAAAAAATAATATGAAACTCCCAAAATATTTTTCCTTTTTTTAATGTAAAATTTTATTTTATTTTTTTGCATTTTTCAAAATGTGAAAAAAAAATCTTACATTAGCTTGGTACAATAATACTTGGCAGTACGTTTTACATTATTGATGTAAATAAGAACACTTAAGTACAAAAAAAAAAAAATTCAGTCTATTATAATACAAAAAAAAAAAAAAACAACCCACAGGTTAAAATAAAATAATAATAATAATAAAAAAGATCAGATGTCACTGTGTAAACATATAAATCATTTGTCACAAAAAAAAGCACTTTTTAATTGTGCATAAAAAAGACATCGCTTTGATTCTATGAATCTCCTGAGAATCGTAAAATATCCCAAATGGCTGTTTAAAGGGAAATTAAATGTACCATTTCCCTGTAGGTTGATTGCTCTTGCAGGTAACCTTGGCTTGGCCTATAAAAGACACAGTACATACATTTGGCAGGAATGTTGCAAAACATTTCTTGGTCCATCAGATACTAAAAAAATAAAAAAAAAAGGCAAATTATGTGTAACCCATAGAAAAAGTCCTACCTTCTCAGTAAATGCCTGATTTGATTAAGAATTTGGAATCCTAGTGGTAAAAGTGTCTCCATTGGCAAGCACTGACCCAGACTGAAGGCTACTCCCTAATGGTGCAGCAGGAGAGCTAGAGAAAGTCACCAAGGCCCTGGAAAGGGCAGGGGCCCCAGATGTTTTGGTAGAGGTGCACTGTACTGGGCTAAGGTCCCCACCTATGATGCTTTCTATGGAGAAGGTAGACCTGGTGAGTGCTGGGCTGCTTTTGGGGGTTTGTAGTGATGGTGAGAGCGCTGCACTGATCTGGTGAGGGTAGAAGGTGCAGGTTCTTGGCAGGTCTGTAGTTGCAGGTGGCAGCAGTGAAGGTGCTGGGATGCCAGGGGCCCCTGGTGGCGGTCTGCTGTGATGTTGCTGAGACTGTGAATGGAAGGCAATCAAGGCAGAGTGGGGGTGGAAAGGCTGCAGCTGGATACCATAACCACAGCTGTATGGTCCATAGCCATAGGCAGCAGCAGGGAGGAAGTGACCTGGGTCCCTGAGCAGTAGCTCTGGGGCTTGCTGTCTTTTAAACCTTTTCCTCCTTCTTAAGAAGCTCCCATTGTCAAACATGTCTGCAGACTCTGGGTCCAGGGTCCAGTAGTTGCCCTTGCCAGGGTTGCCTGGTTCCCTGGGGATCTTGACAAAGCAGTCATTGAGGGAGAGGTTGTGTCTGATGGAGTTCTGCCAGGCTGGGAACTTCTCCCTGTAATAGGGGAACCGGTTGCTGATGAACTCACAGATCTCACTGAGGGTCAGGCGCTTTTTGGGGCTCTGCAAGATGGCCATGGTGATTAAGGCAATGTAAGAGTAGGGGGGCTTCACCAAAGTGTTCTTGTTGGCAGGCTTGTAAGGATCTTTGGTTGAGGAGCAATGAGGAGACCTTGGCATCAAAATGTCCTCAGGAAGATCTGCCACCACCACCTCCTCTTCCTCTTCATCCTCACCATAGGAAACCCCCCTGGGCTCATCTTCCTCTCCCTCTCCCACCACATCAATGTCGGTCTCATCAGCAAACACAGAGGCATCGGACATGTCAGAGCTCAGAGTCATGGCTTGGTGCTTGGGAAGATCATAAGGCTTTAGGCACCAGGAGAGACCCTCTCCTCCTCACCCCACACAGGACCAGGGCAGGAGGAACCTGGCAGAGGAGGTGAGGTCCACACACAGCTCCCTTCCTTGGTGGGATAGGCGTCCCCTTTCTCCTAAACCTGGATCCAGGCATTAGATTGTGGAGACAGAAAGAGGATTTGAATGAGAGTCTCGGGAAAGCTCTTACAGAAGAATAGGTTGGCTTTCAGTCCTGAAGAAGGCGGATCGTCTACTCCCCTTAGAGCTGTGCTGGATCATCACATGGCTGAGGACGTCAGAAAGACTAATGGAAGAGAAAGGGAGGGGTGGAGAGGGGGGTCACACATCAGCCTCAGCAGCCCCAGTCCAGGGATAACCAGGATCTGGAAACTGTCACCAGAGAGCTGGACCTGGAGCTCACGAAGAACTCCTGAAGGTTTTTCCGGTGCTGGACAGGAGGGGACATCCAGCTTCATCATAAACGCCCAATAAATGACACATATACCTAAAGGCACACACACAGAGCAAGGATTCTTTTTATCGTTGCCTAGAAAACACAATGGTGGTTATTTACTAAACAGCGAATTGTAGAATCATTGTAACAGCTAAAATAAAGAAACTGGGACTGCAGCTGTGTTCGGTCTGTTCTTTATTTCGTTCGTTCACCCCCTCCAGATTAGCAGTTTGTTGTCTACAGTTTACGGTTCGATATGCTTTCCACAGCAGTTTTGTGGTTTAGTGAATAAAGTTTTAGAATGTGTGATTTCCTGTCATTATTATCTAAAAGCTCTATTTACTAAAAGTCAGATAATCTGGGTCAACAATCAACTCGCAAAATGTTGGGGGAAAAAGCAAAAGTGGAAATGAGAATATATATTTCCTCTAACGAATGATATATATAATATGTATTACACACTGTCTGTTTCCAAGTGAAATCTCTCCCATATTAATATTTAATTTGAATCTACTGGTATTTTGGGAATTATTACATATGAAATAAAACAGGCTATACAAATAATCATAAATATTTGGCAGAAAACAAACAAATAAATAAAGTGAGAAAATCTTTTATTTTTGGTTTGATCCATTTCCAAAATATTCCTGTGATATTTATGCAACTCAGACAGCGAGTTTAAATCTAAATTGGCTGTAAACCTAGATTCTAATCCTGAACTGTGAATTGAGATCCGAATGGCAATATTTAGCCAAAAAAAGCTGATTTATTTAAAAAAAAACAAAGAAAAAAAAAAAGGACACCAACGGAGAGCTAGCTACAGCTGGTTATTGCAGCCCCTATTTTACAATGTGGTTTGGGTTTTAGAGAATTAGCCCCTGCAGATACAGACCCCCTATTTAAACTAAAGGTCTATATATTATGCAGAGTGGGCCCCTCTTATTAGGCACATCTCCACAATATATCTGACCCTAATTATATACATACTTAATGTGAGTATGATTAAATTCTTGTTTCATTAATATTTATTGTTGGTAACACATTGGATCTCAACGTATGCTCTTCCATTTGTGAAATAAAATAATACTATTGATGCAGTAAAATAGATAGACATATAGATCCTGTGAATCTGGGGCTTGGAACTTTCAGTAATTATTGTATACAGCTTATTTATAATTCCATATGTTTACTAATTTCTCACCTGGCTACTAATGTGACATTGATATCTCCTGAATATCCTTTGCATTTTATATAGAATTGAATAGATGTACCCCTTCCTTACCTGGCTCCTAAAATTATAACTCTGTCACATGGCTAGTGCGATCATTTAATAATATAACTCAGCAATTCTTTCAATCTATAAAGCATACTTCTATACAGTTTACAGAGTTTTTGGTGTGTCCTTAAGCCTTATTCCTAATTAAAAGATGGCATCAAAATCATAAATTCACTCTGTATCTCTTCTATATAACATATTCATATGAAACTCCACCATTGTGGTTTATTCAACAAACTGTGATTTGCACAATTCAGACCAGACTAGCCGATCTAGAATAACTCTTCAAGTCACAGCTTGATTATTTTAGTCTGAGATTTGCAATCTCCCAGTTCACTGTTTAGTGAATACAGCCCATTGTGTGATAGTTCTAAATGCACATTATAAAGACCATTCTCTCCCCTTAGAGAATAACAATGGTGAACATTGCTTTATGTCACACATTTACTGATACAAGCTGGGCTGTAAAGGTGGGTGTTTGGGGATTGATATAACATTTGAGCAATGTCGAGGTATGGGTTCCATAACATATATATATATATTTATATATATATATATATATTAGAAATGTGAATAATAACTTGTGCACATTTCTAATATATATATATGTACAGACACACACATTATATATATATATATATAAAGAAACCTTTCAGAAACACATAGTATGGTAACTGTATTTAAAAAAAAAAATGGTATTGTTCATAGTAACTCCTGTGTCTACAAAGGGCTCTATATATCATATCACAAGCTGTATGCATGTGTTCTTTTCAAATAATTATTATTGAATTTTTTTTCAGAATTTACAAATAATAAAGAACAATATATTAGGGAAGGGAAAGGAAGGGTGAAACTGGGAAATGGGGGGGGTGGGAGGGGGGTGGAAGGGGGATATCCATCCATTATAACAGTAAATATGTTAAAGTACAAGGCACTTGAGTTGAATAACACGACATTACAATTTATTACAGGTTATGTGTTTTTTTGACATCGGTTTCCCATTGACCCCAGTGGTGTTTTAATTGTGCAAAAATGTGTGTGTTATTTCTATGTAATAGTTCGTATGCTTTGTTTTCTAATGTTAGTGTCAGTACTTCCTTGATAGAGGGTGTATGTTTAGACTTCCAATATCTAGGTAGACATGTGGGTGTATGCATGTGTTCTAAAGGGTGATTCGTTTATAATTAGCCACGAATAACATTACATAAAATAAAATACTTATTTTAAAACCAATAATGTGGGTCGGATTTATATATTGTTATTAATTATTATTAATTATTATTAATTATTTTATATTATTATTACCATTATTGGCCTTAAAATAGCGTTAATGTATTTTTGCTAATTTGCAGAAAATGAAAGTAATTCGATCTTATTATATCAAATAATACTAAACATGTTAAGAACGCATGGTGTTTTGTTCTGAAATAAACAAATATTAATAACAATGCATTTGATAATAATAAAGAACGCGTTTAGATATTTTAATGAAATAATTCCATGTAGAAATATATTTATATCGTTTGTTTATTATTTAAGCTTTGAAATGTTATATAATCGGTGCACTTACTGAGCTAAGAAGAAATCACAGAACTTCAGCTGTTCAGGAACTACAACTCCCATGATCCTTGGCCAGCCTACCCCCAATGTGGCAATTAATCATGTGATTTGTAGCTCATGCACGATGGGGCCCATCTTTTGGCTACCCCCTGCAATAGACTGAGAGTTACTATTAATCCTCCTGATGTTCCTGAACCCATTTCCCATGGTCCTCAGCCAGGCAATTGTAGTTCGAAACCATCTACAGTACAAGGTTAGCCATCAGTGAGAACGTTTATTAATTCCGATCTAAAACCCAGTGAATTCTTCTTCCAGATTTGGGGTGAAAATACCACGAGTACAGGTAAAAAGGAAATCCAATATTCTGGATTACAGAGCATTAACTGCCAGGGAAGTCAATTTGCCATTACACTAAATATAGCTATAATACAGTTGCCATTTCAGTCTTAATTGATGAGAAGAAAATGTAAGTATTCAATGTATACACTTACTGCACACAAGACGGAGAAACTGCAATAAAAGTTTGTAATGTTACAATGTTCCTCCTTCTTTTTGATGCAGAATTGTTGAACTGGAGCGCCATCTAATGGAAGACAATAGTACACGTCTTTCTCATTTTAAAAATAGGTTGTAGTCGTAAAGAGAATTTCACGTCAGAAATACATACCTTCCAAGTGTCCCTTGTAGCAGAGACTTAGTCCTGACAAGGACTCTCACTCTGCTATGATCAGTAATTCAGCAACTCCGGAACAAGAATCAGCCAAGTAAATAGCCCACCTCCTCCCCAGCAACTGGACAACTCACAGTTCTGGAAGCATAACTGATTTTATTCCTGGCACACACTGCTTTTATACATTGCCCCTAGCATGGAGTTTCTTAGTCACAATTACAGGGCTTTTCTTCACAGGATCCTCTGTGCCGGAGAGATAACTGTGTGAGAAAAAGCTATAACTTAATTATCTCTCAGACACAGAAAAATCTACAATATTTTAAAATACCCCAAAAATCAATTTTAATAACTTCAGAACCCCACGAAAGTCACATCACCGAAAAGCTTAGATCTGAGAGCACACTTTGCCAAAATATCACTCAGATCCCTTTGTTGGTTGTGGAACGCCATTCAAATGAAGTTTAGACAGGTCGGCCATGAGGTGATGCCCCAAAACAGTTCCAGAGACAACAAGGCAACGACTGGTCATTCTATGTTTCTATGTGTCTATTGCTGTTAGGGTACGAACGCTCCCCCTGTTTGGTAGTTTATGCCTCCCGAACGCCATTCTCCTAACTGTTCAGGAAGTTGGATGGGCAGCGGTACCAGTTTCGTGGAGACGTTTATCCGAAAGTAGTTCCACGCCGTTGACGACCATGTACTGCTGCCCTCGTTCGGGAGACAAAATTGTCACCAATTGTTTGAGCACGTACGTTCAGTTATACGAACGGCGGCCACACAGGGAAGGCACATGAACTAACAACCAAGTTCATGTGGTCGTGGTCGGTGATTATGAAGGTGCGAACAAGGGGCCACACAGCGAGGGGGTTCAGTAAACAAACAGTGGCATACGGACAGCCGAACAAAAGGAAATAAAAGTATTTTTGAGTTCTCCATTCCACTACATAGCTCCCCCTTTACCACAAGCCGGCATTCACAGTCTGATCCTTAACGGATCAGCTTGGGGATGCCGCGGGGGGCTCACGGATCACTTCTCAAGTTCTGCCTGTCTGAACAACCGTCAGCATTTCCATTTTGCTTCCCAGGGTGGTAGTGGATCGTGAAGTCAAAAGGCCGCAGCGCCAAACTCCAGCGTAGCAGCCTGGCGTTGCCCCCTGCCACCCGGTTCAGCCATACCAACGTGTTGTGATCCGTGAGTAAGGAGAATGGCTGTAACTTTTTTAGGGCCCACACCACGGCCAGGCATTACTTCTCGATGGCGGCGTAGCTTACTTCACGAGGTAACAGCTTGCAACTGATATAAGCCACCAGATGTTCTCCGACTTGGCTCAGTACTGCAAACATAGATGCATCTGTATGGACGAGAAAATGTTTAGTCGAATTGGGAGCTGCCAAGACAGGTACATTTATAAGAACTTGCTTTAACTGCTGGAATTCCTGCTCACACTCCAGGGCCCAGACTACCTGACGGGGAAGATTCTTACGTGTCAGGTCGGTAAGGTGCATGGTCAGGGCGCTGTAGTTGGGCACAAATTTCCGATAATACCTGGCTGTCCCTAAGAAAGTTAACACCTGGGTTTTGGTCCAGGGGGTAGGCCACTG